TTTGTTATTAACAAAATTTCTTATTCACCATTAGTTAGGTTTTAAGGTATTCGGAACTGCAGGAAAGTTCAGTCCTCGGTGCAAGCAACAATAGATGTGAAGCTTGCTTCTCTCTTCATCCTGTAGAGTAAGGGAGGGACTACCTAACCATCAGAAGGTTGGAGAAAATTCAGATGTCCGGCGATTGTTCCATGGGCGACAGACACTTTAAAGTTGAGAACTTATGATACTTGTGCCAGCGATTTTTCAGAACAATTATGATGTGACGTACACGTACGATGGTCCTGGTTATCGGCATGAATCAGTCGGACTATATATTGATGAAACACATGTAGTTGGTACACAGGCACTGAGTTGGTTTACTCAAGTATCATATTTACTGTGTAATTCTGAGTTATGGGTTGAAAACTATGACTTTTATACATTTTTCAGTTTCTTCTTTCTTTTTCCTTCAACAAACATATTTATTTGCCAAGGCATCTTCTTTTTTTACAAAAGTAGTTCCTACTTTACTCACGTTCTGTTCGCTCTACCTGCCTAACTAATGGGAAATAAGAAATTTGAATATGAAATGTGAAAATACAGTAGAAATGCACCCTTTATACTTCGCTCTCACTACTGATATGTGCACTGTCAAACGTTAGTTCGTCGTCAGAAGGTTGAAGAGAATTCGGATGTCCGACGATTGTTCCATCGGCGACAGACACTTTGGTTTAAGCTATTTTTATTCAGAAGTGAATATACCTAACAACTTTTCTTCTAATGCGCCGAATCATTACATAGTTGAAAAGTTGTTTAACACGATGTTTCCATAACCGTACATTAAATACACAACAAGAAGAAAAAACGAAAAAAGAAAAGGTTAAGAAAATGAGGATTGAAAAAACGGAAGGTTGGTGGAATGTTACAGTTAGAATCTGGCTGTCTCAATTACATATTGTATTATAAGCTTATAAAGATCTTTATACAATTCGAAATCTAGATTCTTTCGTAGTAGTAGTATGTTTAGGTCAATGTCACAGTTCGGATCACGTAGTTTTATTTGTTTAAACAGATTTGCTCTTGCCAAACCATAGCTATGACAAGACTTTAAAGTTGAGAACTTATGGTACTTGTACCAACAAGTGTCAATCGAACGTTAACGGACTTCAAGGATGGTAATGTAGCAAGTTGTCTGATGATATGATTTGGGTACGTAATGTATTCTTCATGCTCATGAGAAAATAGCTGAACACATTCAATAAAGTTCCTGCAAACATCGTTGTCATGAGTACCTCCTATGAGAACTACAGCTTCAATTTTAATTTTTTCTAGAAAATGGCCAATAGGTAGTAATGGTGGATTGGCAAATTCATCACCTTATTTCGACTAAAACATTCAAATACTATGTCATTTAGTAAGATAAATGGTGTAGAGATGACTGTACATGATAACAAATCATTTTGTATACGAATGATTTCAGAGCAGTTCGTCACCACATGTGATTTACCCGGCGGCTTTGTTGTTAGAAATTTGTGTCGCATATTAGCAGCTACAGCGGACGATACACCTGACATTTTCTCCAAACTAATACTTTACTTCTTTTTCTTGTTGTGTTATACTTAATTTAATCTATTCATCATTTTGCGTATCCGTTCCAAGATAAATGCCATTCGTTCTTTCTTTTTCATAACTGTCGATTGGAACGAGATAAAGCCCTATGCTTTTGTGCGCGTAGCCAACATTTTATGACAGCTTTTTGCAAACAAAACGCGATTTTGGTTAAAATTCGGAGCTCGGTTTTCCAGAGAATCTCTGAAAAACCACAGCGGAGCTCAAGACTCTCCCATCCGAATGTTTTTTTGCAAGGTTAGGTAGTTCCTCCTTTACTCTACATAGGCTGCTCATATTCTGAGATTTTGGAGGAAGTAAATCTTTTTCTCTCAGCAGTTTGCCTCTGATTCATAGGATTTTCCGGATATTTCAACTGCTTTGGAGAAAGAATAGTAGATACAGTTATTAATACAATCACTGTTATGCATCACAATTTTTCACGCAGAAAAGCTCTATTTTGATCATAAAAAAACATTTTTATCTAAAACAGACTGGCAGAAGAAGTTGATGACAATAGATTGAACTTTTATTCGAAAAAAAGAACCGTTCCGACCGAAAAAGAAGCACTAAATAAAGCTATACTTTTAGGGTATCAGTAGAGAGAAGCATAGTGAATGCAAAAATGTATAGATGATGTATTGACGATTATCTACAAGATAAGTTGTCGTCATTTTCATCCTTCTCATTCACTGCTTGAAAATAAACCTACCAAAAGAAAATGTTTTCTTTTCTATACAAACTCTGTATTGTACCAGCTCATTCATCAGCTTTATTGTTTATCTGCCACTGATGCGTCCTTCTCCTCTCGGAAAAGAAAGCATATTTTGCAAGTGTTAAAACATATTACGGTCGCTGTGATCATTCTGTCTAAACTGCAACAACTCGTTTTCGGCGAATTTAGTTGTGAAAGTAATGCTTACAATGGTGCTTCATTTGACTGTTGCCATTTAATGCATCTGAACGATGATAAACGAATCGACATATTTTATTCGTATCGTAATGAAAATAGTAAAATTATGTATGCTGAATTTATAAACTTAGGTAGTGGGGGATTTTGTATACAAAGAATGAATGATGCAATGGCAACTTATCGTAGCAGGCAACTATGCGGAGGAAACGAGACGACAATTTTGTCAGAGAATCCAGTAATATTTGATAACAGAATGATGTAGATGGTGAATCGAATGAGACATTTTCATCAATTGGTTGAATATTATTAGTTAAATCGATTACTGCTAAGAGAATTCGATCTTGTTTGTCAAAAACACGTGAACGGTGATACATGTGACTATGATACAAATGACGATGATGTTTGAAGAAAAAATATCAAATACACGATATTTTCTCTGAATTCTAACTATACCATCTTTTTGCAAAAAAAAGAAACAAATGATTCTTTGTTCTTTCGTCTCAAGAGAGGACTTTTCTTGCAGAATAACAACGTACCTTATCAGTTGTTGAAAGTATTGACTTTAATAGCCAGTACTGACTGCAAATTATCCATAACGGTTTGATTAGAAACTTTTCAATGAATTTAATCTGTTTTCTGACATTCTGAAATGAATTTAACGAGCGTGAAGTTGAAATTTAAAAAATATGCATTAAGGCATTTATATGCTAAATATTATACGAATATCATGACTTTTACGTATGTTAATATTACAAACAAACTGTGGCAACACCGTTCGTTAATAAAACCGCAGTATTTTATGCATATAAACACATGGACGTACACCACTGGAATAGAATGATACATCCTGCTTAAAAGCATGCTATCGTTAAACTGTATATGAATATAAGCTTCGGACCGTTGCTGAGAAATGATTAAAAACTTCAGCATATGGTAGTCTACAATCAACTTTTAAAGCGCAGAAAAATTAAAAACTAAACAACGAACGATTTCTAATCAGTTTCAGTCGTTATTTACTCAAAAATATATAGGGCTATTTTCTTGTAGAAACCGTTCGTTGTCGTTTTAATATAATTTCAGTTTATTATAAAGATATTTTCAATCAAGAAAACAATAAGTTATCATGGATTAGCTAATGTACATATTTCGTTCTGGTTGAGTTCTCGACAGTAGACATACAATTCATCCATAGAACCCAGAAGTTGACCTGGTACTACTGGAATGGTACCAGTATAACAACCAGATGGAACACCTCCCCCTGGCATGCTGTTACCAAAAGTTAGAAAAAGCGGAGCATTGAAAGAACTCATTGACAGAGTACCAGTTGTATAGGCGTTTAATGCTCCATTCAAATACAATCTCATACCATTTGGTTGAGAATAGGAAAATGTGACATGTGTCCATGAATTCAGTTTCAAAACCGAGGACTGAACTGTCGTCATGTTATTTGCCCCGTAATTGCTGTTATATGTTTGTGCAACAAGAGTTCCGCTCGAAGTTAGAACGAGTAGATCAAAACAAACTACAGTAGAACCAGTTAATAGTTGAGATACATGTATTATCGTTCCACTGGTGATACTTGTTAGACTCATCCAAAACGCGATTGTAAATGGTGGATTTCCATTATGTATGCCGAAGATTTGGGTTATAAAATAGGCACTACTTAAATTGAACAAAAGTGCTTGATTCACTTTACCGGTTACACTTGTGGTTTGTGAAGTAAAAGCATTAATAAAATTTAGACTATAGTCAAGATAAGGCTGAGTCGTCGAATCCAATGGATAGTAACCAGAAATGGTTACCCAACATTCACATATGATTTCATCAATTTCAACAAACTGTTTATCTTTGCTCGTCTCTGAGAATAGTAATATGTCTATGCTTCTCAATAAATCAATGTTTTCGCTTGAATCTTCTTAAGGTTCGATAAAAATTAATTACTATTCTTCCTCATTTTTTGTTGAACATGTATTTGAGATATCCCAAATGATACTCTGTTAGTGATTATACGCAATAAACAAACAACGTCTTGCATCATTCAAAATTTGACAACTCGATTTTGCATAATTACTAATAATCAAATTGTCTATCAATCCGTAATAGTAGCTGTTTGAATAGTTACTGTAACCAACTGTAAAGGTACCCGTGCTTCCGACATAAGGACCAGATACGCCGAGTGAAGCTGATGATGCGTCAAGAACGCCATTATAATAAATGGATAGTTGAAGGAGAGAGTAATCGTAGACAAAAGTAACGTGATACCAGGCTGATGTAACTAGTACAGAAGAACCAAATATTTCAGTATCGAGATTTAAACTCATATGTAAATGTCCATTTTTAATGCTTATTGAAAGACATTGGTCGGCCAGTAATGTGGATGCACACTCTCCAAATATTCCCTGCTCACCGGTGATACTTCGCGGATAAATCCAAGCTTGAATTGTGAAACTCTTGTAAGTGAGATCGATGAATGGCATGCTGACATATTGAGTAGCGGTATTATCAAACTGGATGCATTGGCCAGAAATTGTTGGACTGCTTGAATAGGTTGGTGAGTTGAATGGTAGACCAGTGTATAATGAATTACGATCAGTCGTTGTGCTATCAAATGGCCAGGAACTGTTCTTAAAATTTCGTGATCATTTGTTAATTTTACTGTGACTGTTTCGTATGTAAGTAGGGGTGGCACTGTACTAGTTACTCGGCGTTACTTTACCAGGTAAAGTAACGAAGTTAATTATTTCGTTACTAGTAACAAGCAATTAATTTCGTTACTTCGTGACTCCTCCAGAAAGTAACGAAGTAACGAATACTTTGAAAGAAAAGAAGTAATTAGTCACTCGTTACTAGTAATGAGTAACTAACTTCGTTATTAGTTACAAGCAAAGTAACGATAAAGTGCCACCCCTAGCTGTAAGTAGAAGAACTCTGAACTGGTAGCGTGATAATGGGTCAGTCTCCAATAAGCAACCGAATTCTCATGAAATGGTGTTAGTGACTTGATACAAGTACTAACACTACAGACCGAGGCGCTTGTAGTATTCGCTAAAATAAAACCGAAAAATAAGAGCAAACTTTATTCTTTAATTTTTCCTTGCACTAACAGTACTTGCCGAGAGAGCGCTTTACATGTTTAATAAGAAATAGTAAAATAGCTTTCGTACTGACTGCTTAAGCATAGAGATGAGAAAGGCAGCCATAAGTTTCACTGTCATTTTCACCACAAAATGCGATGGATATACATTGGCTTGTAGAAAAAACTGACTCTATCCAAATGTCCAAAACAATAATAAGGTTTCTAGCATGAAGTAACAAATTTTAAAAAATTTATATCTTCTCAACGGAAGGACATGGAGAGCTGAGAGCTGCCTTGTTTTGTTGAGAACACTTAATTCTATAACGTAAAATATTTAAATATAAAATGAAAATGTTTTCTAAAAAAGAGGCGATCACCCTTAATTTTCTCTTAGGGCAGGATTCGACAATACATACATCATTGGATAGAACAAGTTTTTCTCTACAAGACAATGTATATCCCGTTTTATGGTAAAAAATGACACTGGAACTTATAGTCGCCTTTATAGGTAAACTGTTTCTTTTATATCGGTGGCCACCTTACAGGATACAGATGTGTCCCACCCTTTTATATGTGATTTGCACCAAATGAAAATTATTGGTAGCCTCACCTGTTGGGGAGTTTTTACGTATCAGTAGAATGGTTGGTGGGATGACGGCAGCACACACGATCAAGAGTAGTGCGATGACACCGATTATTTTATATGGAAGAGAGATTTTACTGCAAAATGTCGTTTTTTTACTGAAACAATAAACGGTTGCGTTTGTTTGTTTATTAAAAGACAAATACCTATCAACTTACCTTGTACTAGCTAACTTCTTGTCAACGTCTAATTTCAATACAGGGGAGGATGTTTGTTTGGCACTTGTTGTTCGAGACATTCCTTGAATCGATGAACACAAGCGAGGAATGTATGGATTGACATACGTGGCTTTTGTAGGTACTGTGAAAGGATCAGCCAAATCTGTAATCAATGTTGCCGTGGACAAAGATGATAATGGCTCAAACGTTGTTAGCTCTGTAGAGTTAGTTGACTAAATGAAACAAATTATCAACGCTAATCAATTCACTGTTTTTCTCGAAAATTTCTTACTACTGGATCGTCTGTTTTCGGCTGTAACGGCCGAACTCTCGTTATCATTGGTTTATAAATATTTTTAACGTTTCGTGATGTCATTCTTGATCCCGAAGTAATGTCAGATCATGCAAACGTCTCGGTTGCAATGAAAGTGTCTTTTGTACTCTAACGAAATTGTAATCATAGTTTTTTCAATTTTATCGTCATTTGTATGATTTCATACTCAAAAAAAGAAAAATATTCGTTGTTTTTTGGCTGTCGATTCCGTTTTCAAATCGCCAGACTTTTTCAATTTTATAAGTATACGATACGAACTAATAAAATAAATTAATGAATTCTGGCGATTTGAAAACAGAGTCATCAAATTGAAAGTGAAAAAATAATGAATACTTTTTGTTCGTTGAATAAGAAATCATACAAATGGGCAATAAAACTGAAACAACTATGATTGCAATTTCGTTAGAGTACAATAAACACTTACTTTGCTAATCGAGATGTTTGCATGATCTAACTCATAACACTACAGCTCGGTAGCGAATTACAATGCTGTACAATCGTATAGCAGAAATTCGGCACTGATGGGTGTGAAGAATCATGTCATTCTTCTCATTGTCCTTTCATCCTCTTCTCGTTAGTCTGTTCTTCTTCAGTGCATACTATATATATTGCTCTTCCTCATCGGTCATCATATACACATGACTCTCTCCCTTTGTTTTATGTGAATCTTTCTTTCTCTTTCTCTCTCAATGCCTAAATATTGGCATTGTTTATGATAGCAAAGGCGAGTATGTTCGTGCTTTGGACTATTATTCAAAATGTCTCAAGATGAGAGAAAAGTGTTTGCGACCTGATCATCCAGATATTGCTAGTAGTCCATCAGGTCATCCTGAGCGTGTTAGGGTTGAGAAGAAGCTTTCCGAGAAGTTCGTGTAAAAGGCAATTATTCTGAGTAGGTAGTTGTGAATGCATGTGACGGTTGAGCACTTGTTTAACTGTTTATGTGTGAGTATTTTCGTTTTTCATTTGCACACTTAAATGCAGTTTCAGACTTTCAGACAGTTTCAAACAAACTTTTACTGCGAAGAAACTTCAAGCTTCGCTTTTTCCCTGAAGTCATTTTTATATAATGATTAATTCAGCTATAAAGTGCAGCTAATTCAAAAATCAAGTGAAATGCTTTTTTTGAACATATTATACACCATCCGATAGAGCTTTACAAGCAGATCAAGAATATGTAGTTCTTAATTTTTCGAAAGTTGCTTTCCGTGTCGAAAAATCAAAAAAACTCGAAGTGTCTAAAGACTAGAAAAAACGACGTTGTTCGAAAAAGTTAGATTTTTCGACTTGGGCTTTTAGTTGGAACATTCAAACTATTTTTTTCTTATCCAGCATCAGCTAAATTAAAAAATGATATTAGATTCATTTAGAAGGTAAACGCTTGTTCATCATGGACGTTCGAATGTACCATTGGAAAAGAAGGATGAATCATTTTGTAATTCCATCTAGTGTTTTGTGTCAAGGGATGGAACCATCGTATCAATGACACTGTATCCGCCGTGAGCCCCGCTTTAAAAGTATATGCTTGTATTTCTAAAATTTAGACCCATTACCTTTCGGTGTAGGGTAAGACAACATAAAAGAAGTACACAAAAAATACACAAATGAAAGAAGTGTTCGTTCAGCTTCTGTCCTGTTCGTTCACATTATGTAAATAAATACAGGCTTTTCATCCGACTATCACCCTCCAAGTATACTTGGTTTAGATGATATTCTTCATTTCACCAGTATTACTAAACATAATTTGTTTTCACATCATTTCTTTCCGATTTTAATGTTGTTTTTCTTACACCAGTCTTTTGCACACGACTTCACATGTCCTGTGATACCTTGCGGCTTGAAAGATCTGTTACAATTTGGACAAGTGTAGGCGTTGTTTGCATCTTTCACTAACACTTCCGTTACCTTCCGTTGTCCTGTTCCACGATCCTTAGCTAATTCTCCTACTCTCCTCCTCTCTGCACGATCTTTAAGTTCATGAATTATTTCTTTGATGTTTCTTTGTACAGAGGTAACCTTCACACGTTTGTTGATTAGCTCACGCCACATTTCTCTGTCTCTTGTTTCCATTCTTCAGTTTCTAATCTCGAACTTCTCAAGATCATCCATAATTTTAGCCTCTCACCGTTTCCGAATGCCAATGCTACCAGGACGTTTGTCTTCCGGGAGGTAAGAGAACATTATTTTCTTCACCAATGATGCTTCATTATTCGCATTCGCCATTCTGTTGGCGTGCCCAAACCATCTTAACCTATTCCTTCTCATTATATTTTCAATTGTGGGCTGGCCAGATAACTGTAAGATCCTTTAGTTTGAAACACAATCTCCCAACTTTAAACCTAGCACCGTTCTCAGGCACTTCGTATAGAATATGTTGATTCTATTCTCCTGAGCGACTGTCAGATTCCATACTTCACTGCCATATAATAGAACTGGCAACACACAATCGCGGAATATTCTGAGTTTTGCATCGATGGAGATTGTTTTCCGATACCATATCTCGTGTTTGCCTACCGGGGGAGTTTTCGAACTTCTACAAGGTCCTACGGCTATTCTAAATTGCAGCAGGAGGCGACCGAGACCGATTAACTAGTACTTTGTATTCCTATTTTTGTGTCGATATGACGTGTAAGTTCCTCCTCCAGTTTTTCATACAGATTTGCCGCTCGCATAAAATATTTAGCGGCCAAACCCTCGTTTCCATGAGATCTGAATGTCACTGCTTTTTCAAAGTTGCAGGCTGCGCTTACAGTGCGTATTAGATCACATAAATAATCTTCCTCAAATACTAATATTCTTTGGTACATAGCTAACGCAGTTCTTTGCATCAATAAATCGACGCTCGCGCAATAAACATAAAAATAAACATGAGGGAGTTGTTGGAGTGGGTTTATGGTTTCTTGAGTCGTATCACTAGCTAAGAACAAAAACAGTTTATTGTCAGTATCTCTTGTAGAGTTAGAGAATGCTACACATTCGTGTTTGGTTATGAATAACCTCAATATATCTGAAAGCTCTTCTACAAGGCAATTGTGTAGACCACATGGATCGAGTAAGACAATATCAGTATCTGAATTGGAATTTAGCGCGTTGACCATTTGAAATCTAGAAAGTAAAATAAAGTGAATAAGAGGCTCGTCTATAACTCTTTCCATAGATAAGGACACTAAAATAAATATTTCATTGAAACACGGTAGAAACACAGAAAGGACTTGCAAAAAAATGATTGGAAAAAGTAGTCTCGTACCTCTGAAAATGTAATGGATCGGTCGTTCGAATTCCTGCAATTCTTAAATTCTCAATTCATTATTATATGGTGCATGCCGAAAAGTGTGACTGAGGACCTTGTTTATTCTCATGCCATGGAAGTGAACGCTGTTTGGTGAAAAAATGAATTTGCGGCAGGTGCAAATTCGTCATGATAGTAATAAGAGGCATGGTTTCAGTTTCTTCTAACAAGCATATACCCGCTGCATTTCAATAGATAAAAATATCATCTATTCTGTTGAGCATACATGTAGGAGCCTGAATATGACCCTAGCAGAAGTTGTTGAGTAGCAAGAAAACAACAGCTTGGGATATTCTTGTCCCCAAGAAAGTTTATTAGGGAAGAGTTATAGAAGAAATAAAAGGAGAAATATATGATGCATTTTTCTTCCTTCGGGAAAGTTAAAAGAAATGAAAAATTTTTCTGATATCGTCACACTCTTATTTAACTTGCTGGGATTCAATCTCCTGTGTCTTGTAGAAAGTTTATATCTCCATCAGATCTGTCAAATTTCTTGATCTTAAAGAACCTTGAACAATTCTTGACGAGATCTTTCTTTTTTTAAATTTAATTTTTTTAAAAGAATCTGTTTGCAAAAGTCTTGATCAAGATTTGTTTCAGAACTTGACTCTAATTTATCTTGAAAAGTATTGTTTTTAACACGAACTTCGTCATGATGTGAAACCTCCTAAAATCAATTTTTTCGGAAAATACTGAAACACACATTGTAGATCCGAACGACGCTCAGATTCGTAACCAGCATCGTTAATAGCTTATAAAGATGTTTCGTAAATATTATTTATTACGCAAATTGTAGCTAATAAAGGAAGATGTCCATACATTCAGTTTTCTTCCTTTTTTTCGTGTATAGAGAAAGACAACTCATAATCAATTATTTTCCTTTAGAAAAGAAATATTAGAAATGTTTGATATAAATCTTCTCTGAACAATTCAGTATCTCAAAATACGTATTCTGGTGGATAAAAAATTGTAGAGAATAGCAAAAATTCAAAAATTGTCCTACAGTAATCACTATTAATGTTGAAAGGTTTTGTTGTTATTATCGATTAGAATACCTCTATGAGTTTTGATTATATGTCCCAAGCAAAAGAAAAAATCGATAAGCTAGCTCAATCTAGGTAAAGCCGCTTTATCTAGATTGAGCTAGCTTATCGATTTTTTCTTTTGCTTGGGATATTGCATTAAGAAAGACATGCAGTTTAAACAGTTAACTGTCAAGTTTAGTTCTGCCTATCCCGCATATATACATTTTTTATAAGTCAGAAATAGGTATGATAGTTGAGGCAAATTACCATTATTTGTCACCTTATTTCAAACACTGTCTTTCTCGAAATAAAAATCCTATCAGTCTAAAGAGCCTTCTAGATGAAATTTGTACATACGCCTTTTTTACTCATCATTTTTTTGTAACAGTTGAAAAAAGAGCTTGCAATCTGGATTTGCACATTTGTGCGAGATGCTAAACGAAAAGCCAAAACAACAGCGTTATCTGTTCTAACTGAAACCGATACTTTTACCCTCACTTTAAAATTCGTTGAATCTCTGTATCAGCCAATTTCTTACCACAGCATGTTTCAATTTTATAAAAGCAAAGTAGAAAATAAAGAGTTGCTGTTAATTCGAGACAATAGTGAAATGATATGTTTTCAACCTTTTGAAAAATCTGTAGATATAACGGTAACGGTATCTTTTTTGCACGCAGCTTTGGACAAATTCGATACTAATAGATGTGTACAAATTCATGAATTATATAAGATCATCAGTAACTATTTTCGTGAAACGCTATTCTCTTTCGATGATAATTCTTTATTAGATTCTCTAAAATCAGATATTCTTTTGCTCCGTACTAGCGAAGAATCAACCACTTTTTTTACTTTCACGATTCCATCCGAGAATGTAGGACGACAAACAGATTTTGTTGACTTTGATCAGTTAATTGGACCAACTTACAATACTTGAGGAATAAAAAGAGTTTATGAAGAGGATCCAGTTCAAAACAGAAAAACGAATGTTTCTTGGCAAGCACTGCAAAAGAAATAAAACGTCAGTTTCTATACATCAAGAATACTGATTACCGATTCTGCTCTAAGAGCAATGTTTCAGTTTTTTCAAAAATATAAAAAGCTTTTCTCTTGTAGTCAAATAGAACGTCGTCGTAAGGAAACTAACAAAAACGTCCCCGTAATTGCGTCCAAAACTAGTTCTTTTGCCAATTTTGAGTACACCATCAGAACACCAATTTTTGTCGCGAAAAAATTTAATGCAGGACTTATAAAACTTGACCGATTAACGTTAAGACTGAATATGGACGGAACGCTCACTGGAAACAAACATATCGTAGCTGTGTCTGTAAACTGTATAGAAGGAGGAAGATCCTGTCAAAGAGCAGAACTTCTTGTATCTGCCGGAACTATTCGTAGTTTCAGAATTATTCAGGAATCGAGTTATGATGAGAAAAATGATACAACTTTGATATTTCTTATTTGTATAAAGGAACAGATTTGATCATTCCATCCAAGTCTAATCAATTTCAAAATGATTCTGGAGAAATCTAATGTCTAATCTATTCAATTGGAATCAATTTTAGCTAATTTTAGACTATTGTAAGACTAATTCTAGACCAATTCCAATTCCAATCAATTCTGATCAATTCCAGGAATTGGAATTGGTGCACCCCTACTTAGATGAACTCATTAGATATACGAATATATGGAAACTATGGATAAAATTGTCAAGTAAAACAATTTCAACAACATTGTTTGTTCTCAAAGAAAAATATTCGACACATAAATTTTTATTATTCATTACAAATTTAAATTCATTTTTTTAGTATAAATATAAAAAATGATTGATTGATGATGCATTTCTATGTCAGTAAGAAGTATCGTCGATAAACTTTTAATAACCGATACATAGTACCTAACGCATTACGAAAGAAACTTTACTTGATGTTTCAAAATAATTATATCTTATACGGAAGTGAAGTGTGGTCATTGACTGTGACGCAGGAGCGGCGACTGAACACGTTTTACATGGCCTGCCTACGAACAATTGTCGGTGTGAATTTAGGGGACAGAATGTCCAACGAAAACCTACTGAACTTGACTGGTCAACCGTACCTAGAAAACATCAAGCGAAGGAATCGTTTGCGATGGTTTGGCCATGTCAATCGGATGGAAAACGCAGGTGATGATGGACCTAGATTAGTAAAGAAAACAATGTTTTCTTATTTTCCTGATTCCAAACGGCCATGAAATGCTGGCGTACGTAAATGATGGGAAGATAAAATTATGGATGATATTGGTAAATGTCACATTAGCAACTGGAGAAGAGATACATTAAATAAGGACCAATGGCTGATTAATAAACATGCGCATGTGAAACCAATCCATTGAAATATCAAAGCTATTATTCATGACTGTAAGGATCGAGCAAAACGAAGAAGAGAAAACAACGCAGCCACAGTCAGTGGAGCAATGGCAGCAGCAGCTCGTGTCAAAGTAACAGAAGTATTGATTAAGAATCAGCACAATCGTTATACTTGCCCAAAATGTCGAAAGACATTTAAACTTCAAGGAATCACAAAGCATGTGAAAGCATGCACCGAAGATTGGTGTAAGAAAAACAGAATAAGCAATTAATATATTATGGAACGTCGAGACAGCGAAGCCTTGATGGTGTTAATGGAATGATGGATGCAATCGAAACCAAGCTGCTATAGATTGGAGATGGTATTCTGATGGTATGTTCTCAACATTAAGACTTTACGATGAATTACGGATGCAACAAATCCTGAAGAAGGTTTGGATTTGAGATCAAAGCCTTTAGATTTGGGTTTATTTCTTAGATTTAAGCTAAGGTTTAGATTTAGATTTGGGATTTTCATTTTCATTTTCATTTTCATTTTCATTTGTATAAATGTCAAAAATGATTCGAAATTTGCTAGCAGACATACTCGTCGTTATTTGAGTAACTCATTTTTTACAATAAAGTTACAGTAGATTAGTGACTAGGGGGAAACGACAGATTTTGTATTCCCGGGATTCTTACTGTATGAAGATCAACAATGAAAAAACGTAATTTAAAAATGAAGTCAATATTTTCTGTTCTCAATGCTTTATTAATTAGACGATATATGAAACATTTGCGAGTATACCACCATATAGCCTTATCCGAACTATAATTCATTTCAAATTCAGCAATGATTCTTTCTTCCACTTTATTACCCTTGTACTGTAGTTTACATTCCGCAAGCAGATCAACTTTAGCCATGTTATGAGACTTTAACGGTTGAAGTAAGCTGTCAGCTAGAATTTGAAACCACATGAATAATCGATTGTCCTTGTTTAGATCACGAATGAATTTTTCGTTTATCGCTGCTGCTTCTGTTGTTGCTGTCGATATCACTGACGTTGGTTCTTTCAATGAGTTACCGTAGAAGGTCAATAGTAACATATCATTTGATCGTGTTGTAACACTTTCGGTCAGTGCATCACAAAATAAATTTTGTCTCATTGAAAACTCCAGCCACTTTTCCATAATTTTTAGCCCATAATTCATGTCCAATTTTATTATTGCAGAAAACATATATGGATTCAATTTGTAGTAGTTGATAGACGAGTGGAACAACGTCTTTACCACACGCTCCAGATACAATAAAAAATATTTTTTCCATTTCATTTGATTTTATATAATCGATACATTCATCTGGATAAGCGAATGTTTTTAGATAATTAATAATGTACCGTAAACGATCCTTTGTATACAAACAATCAGTTGTATGAACGTTAATGTCAAGCCATACGATAGTAAATTCTTCCAAATTTCGTTCATCACTCGTTTTTGTATAGAAAGTTGTGGCGACTTCTTCTTTCGACTCCATGTATTTATCTGACATGTTCTTATTTCACATCTATTAGGAGAAAATATATTGCGCTCTTATGGGAATTTTTTGCTTATTTGCCTTATGCATCATGAATATTCTTCGTTTTGCCTTTTTATCATAACGTCGCGTGAAGAAACGGGAAAAAATATAAAAAGAGAACGGAGTCGTAATTATTAGACTTTTACACTGTTTAGAGAACGGTTTTCGAAAGATACTTTTTCACTGTATTAAAGGGGGTCGCTCCGTTTAAATTTTGGGTGAGTCTATTGACACTCCCAGGAGTGTCAACAAGGAGCTATTGCCACGCCCGGGCGTGTCAACAAGAAGTTATTGCCACTCCCTGGGCGTGCCAACAAGAAGCTATTGCCACTCCCTGGGCGTGCCAACAAGAAGCTATTGCCACTCCCTGGGCGTGCCAACAAGAAGCTATTGCCACTCCCTGGGCGTGTCAACAGGAAGCTATTGCCACTCCTTGGGCGGGTCAACAAGAAGCTATTGCCACTCCCTGGACGTGTCAACAAGAAGCTATTGCCACTCCCTGGGCGTGTCAACAAGGTGCTAAGATGAAGAAATCGTCTGAATATTTTCCTTGAGGTTCATAGCAAGCAGTTTTATACATTTCCACAGACTAACTGAGTATAACCATAAATAATATTTTGCTTTTTTTTCTCTAATTTTCTTT